ATAGCGCATGGTGCCACCGCATTTATCCCAGCCCCTGCTTACTGCCTTGTCATACTCGGCATGTTCTCTTCCCCTGCTCCATTCCAGGGACTTGTCTGCTTCATTTTTATGTACCCCACAGGGCTCCTTGCCTATGGTAGCTATTCTATAAATAAAACACTGGTTGATTGAATGAAATGGCAACAGCTCATTAAAGCCAAGAATTCTTTCAGTATCTAGAATCTTTTAGGAAAAAAGATTTTAATATCCATTTTTAGATGTCAAGATTTAAACCAGTTCTTGGGACTCATGGTTTAAATCAATTACTGACAAGATAGCTTAATTTGAGGACTAAAACTGCACAGGAAAATTATTGTCTGAGTGCTGGCAGCTACTGTCTTTTTCTCCTCCCGAAAATGTCTCTGGCTTTTATGATTTTTTTTTTTCTCTCTATATAGACACTAATTTGCAAAGCTTCTATTAACTATGGCAATAAGCATTTTCATGTCAGATCTATAAAGCTTTCACTTAGAAGTGAAATAATTTGTTTATTCCCATTCAAAACTCCTTGGATAGTAATTGATTGAAATTTGATCCAGTGTTTGTATAATCCTATGTTGGTTAAATTTTTCTTTTTGCTCAACTATAGATTCTTGGACTTAAATCAATAGTTTCTTTTCAATAAAAAATGAACTAGAGAAGAGAAAATACATTTTAATTTCTAGTGCAATTGATTAAAAAGGCATTTGATTAAGGAATGTTCCATCTCCTATAACTTAAACTTTATAGAAAGTGTTTTTATTTTCAACTCAGACTCTCATGTTTAAGATGTCGATGGTAGGAACCATGGTGAGGAGACAGTCTCTGTACAGGAAGGCATTTTAGTAGAAAGTCTTCAGCCTGCCAGAGCCTCTGGGAGGAGTTATCTGGGTGACTAAGTGGAACCGAATCCTGTTCGTGAGTGTTCTGCAGAGAGGCAGTGAGAACAAGGACTGGAATGATAATTGCTGTGAGATGTGCAGATGCCCAGTGGGTTACTGTAGCTATGTGAGGTGGACTATCATCCATGTGTAATGACCAACGGAAGCGGAAAGTGGGAATTGTCTCTTTGGCATTGACCCTTTAGGTTTTGTTTCTTTGACACTTACTCCCTATCCCTTCCTGCTGAAGACTGCTATAGGTAGAGGGCATTGAACCAGGAATTAGAAGTGCTGGGAAGTGTTCAGGTATTACAGTTGTGTCATTTTACCTGTGGATACCAGTTCTTTACATGTCAGGAAAAGGAGCTAGGAGAGATCAGATGAAAAGCTCAAATGCTGACAGGACTCAGAAAAGTGATGGCATGAGGGAGGTTGGTCAGGTTTAAGGGCAAACGCGTAAGTGAGGTGACCCCAGGTCTGTGATGAGTGAGGACACATCCCACCAAGGAGCTACAACTCAGCTGCGCTTGAGGGAATATGGGGGCCCAGGGTGACTTGGGTTTCCAGTGTTTTGGGTTTAAAAAAAAAAAAAGTTACCTGTTTTAGGGAGTTTTTTTGTTGTTGTTGACAATTTCACTGTGAAATCTCCTGGATTTTTTTTCTTTTTTGAGAGTTGGCCAAAAAACAGACAACTTTTTAATACCATGCAGACCTATCAAAACCTATCTGTAGGCAGATTTAGCTCACAGATCACCAGGCTTCACCTCTGCGCTAAATGAGATATATTTCTAAATCTTATGATTCATTAATTTTCATCAATTATTTCTTCTGTCTCTTTTTACCACATCCTTTCTCCTACTGTATTTTTCTCTCCTTTATTTATATTACATTTACTTGTTGATAGATTAAGTTTAAAAAAACATTTATCCAGTTCTCACCATGTATCAGGTCATACTGAATAAGCCAAAGTGACTCAAAATATCATCTCTTATTGTCTTAGATAATTTATTTAGCAAGTTTTGCTGTAGATGGATGGAAACCTTTGATGTTTAGGGATCAGATAACTTAAATGGGCTTCATGAAGGACACCATGGAGCCTAGCAGGAAGTTCTGATTTATAAAATAAGGGCTGGAACCCAATGGAGATCTCAACTTCTTGTGGTTTGGATCAGAATGTGCTATAAACTCTTTATAATTTCATACAGAATGCAAGGAGAAAGCTAGATCTGAACAGCTTGAAGCCTTCCAACCCACAAGGAACCAAATAATGTTTAGAGTAGTATATTAGTACTGCAAGTCTGGAGAATTCATTTACAGCTTAAAATTTCCTATAGCAAACATGTGTTATAAGCTTTGGGTTTATCATAAAGGTTACAGTTAAAAGATTACCTTTCCAGGAGATTAATCAAAAGGTGATAATTCACCAGCTAAATATCTTGTCGAGCCCCTCGTTGCTATAAACATGTTAAGAAAGTGCATGAATCATGGAACCTTCTGTGAGATTTTGTCCCACCCTGCCTGGCCAGCTTCCAGCAGCGTTATTTGTTCGTGGTGCTTTTATAGCTCTGAACCACAAATCTTCCCTAAACTTCTCTCCCTTATCCTGCTTAGGACAGTAAATGGCACAGTTCTTGAATTCTCGAAGCACTTACAGTCATGATATTGTTTCCTTTGACGAGACTTAGCATTAACATGTTTCTGAGTCTGAATCATTTTCTTAATCCAAAACTAGTTAAAGGATGAGACTCAGACATTTGATTGCAAAGGCAGCGGTTTCTTCTACAAGGTTGGGAGGATGTCTGGGGTGATGGTTCCCAGCACGTGTCCACAGAGCTGTGTCAGACTGACCGAGATTTGAGATTCACTCTGGGGGCTGTTAAGCTTTGGCTACCTAGGGCTCACCCCTGGAAATTCTGATTAAGTAGATTTGGGTTAGGGTTCGGGGATCTATGTTTAAAGCTCCCCAAGCCATTTTTATGTATGGTAGGTTGCAGGGGGGCACTGAGAGTCAAGGGAACTGGTGTGGTTGGGAGGAAGAGTATATATGCACATTACTGTTTGAAAGGTATACATAATCCATCAAGAAGTATCCCACCTATTCACTGAAGTGTCCAGGGATTCCTCCAAGAGCATAGAACAAAGCCAGAGAGCTTTCTCTGAATGTTACTTGACCTAGAATGGACTTAATGCCTTCTGATTCTGATACGGCAGGTGTCTTCTTTTCTGTTGGGATCTTTTATCTTTTATTATTGAAAAGTGATTTTGTCAGCAATCCTGACCTAGATTATGAAGTCCTTTGATCTTGGAGTACATTTAAAGTTTCCAGTTGAAACTGTTCCCTCAGTATTCAACAACATGCATTAAATTTCAGTATTGTTGGTGAATATTATTATATATGCTTTTTTAATCTTTCTTTTAAAAAAAGAGTGTGGGATGGGTGCATATTTTATTTACAAGTCATTTAGACCTTGTGTCAGTATCTCAGTATGCACTGTCCCTCTACTGCCTTTAATTTTTTTTCTTTCTCCATAGTCTGAATTGTAATGACATCTACAGTTCGCTGCTGGCAAGATGCTTGTCACTCTTTGCTCAATACCCTCTGTTCAGTGCTAATCTGACATTCTGAATTTTAAGCCCCGTATCTCCTATAAATCCTATCTTTTCGGCCAGATAAGTAGCCAAGCCTTTTATTTGAGCCCTGTATTGCAGAAAGGATGCAAAATCAGAGGATATCAGTGAAATGGACAGTTTAAAAATAAGATACAAAATTAAATTTGTTCCACATGTCACTGTTGATCAAAAAACCTTTCTACATAAATTATTTTCTCTTCTCAGTGTTTTTCTCTGTGTGCTCTTATACCTTAGGCATTATTGGTTAAGATTCTACTTAGTCATTGATTTAGTTAATTGAGTGTGTCATCTACCATATGCCTATCGCCAGCCCTGGCAGACTTGTTTAATGTTTGAACATGCAGAACCACTTGTCTTTAAGTATATACCATAGCAATGACTAAAGTACTTTTAAATTCTACTGAATAATTGTGTACTAGGTAAATATGTACTAACTATTATATAACATAATTTAACAGTTTCAGTTCAGTGGTAGTGATTTACCAAATTTAACAGATGATATAGGTATACTCCTTGTGTTATTTTAAAAACCTTATTTATTTTGAGAGTTTTTCCCCCAAAAATCCTGTCATTGGGTAACATGTATGGAGCATAGCTTCAGATCACAAGATGTTATGGTCTAGTTGAGTGTATAAATGAAACCATGAGTATATGGTGGGTAAAACCTGAGGGAGAAGAGATCACATTTGATGATGTGCAAGATGTGTGAATATCCCAGCCCATCTATTTAAGAATTTTGTGGTAGGTTGAGAAAGAGTTTCCGTAAAATGTTATGCCTTGTCCTAAAATGTTTTTTGGAAAATGTTATCAGGATTTTTAGTACTAAAGCAATGGAAAAAAGATCTTTCTAAACATGAGTTAGGTGGACACTGTTCATTTTCTTGTATTGCTTACAAATGGACTTGGTAATCTCTGTGTTGGCTAAGACTGTTATTTACAAAATATAAAATTAAAATATTTGTTTTTGTTTATATTTCTTTTCTATTTAAACCCTGTCAGGTAATTCCATTAATATTGTGAAAACTGCATATATATATAACACTTAAGCATTTCTGTTTTTTCTTGATAGGAAGAAGAAAAGAAGTCAGTCAGTTATCCTTCTCTCGTTAGCCACATAACTTCCTCTTTCCTGAATCATCCTGTCTTTACAATGACAGAAAAGATCCCCGTGTCTACCCCTCAGCTGCTAGGTGAATTCTCTCCGTTACTGTCATCTTTGCCTTGTGACATTCATCTCGTTAATCTGAGGACAATACAGGGGCGCCTGGGTGGCTCAGTTGGTTAAGCGACTGCCTTCGGCTCAGGTCATGATCCTGGAGTCCCGGGATCGAGTCCCGCATCAGGCTCCCTGCTCGGCAGGGAGTCTGCTTCTCCCTCTGACCCTCCCCCTTCTCATGTACTCGCTCTCTCTCATTCTCTCTCTCTCAAATAAAAATAAATAAATAAATCTTTAATAAAAAAAAAATCTGAGGACAATACAGTCAAAGGTATATCCCAAAATGTATCTATAAAGAATTACTTTTTTGTGATGTATTTGATATAAGGGGATGAGAAGCAGAAAGAACTGCAGCTGACCCTTGAACAGCATGAGCTGGAATTGCACTGGTCCACTTACACAGATTGTTTCCCATAAACACACTACAGGACTGAAAATGTATTTTCTCTTCCTTATGATTTTCTTAACATCATCTTTTCTCTAGCTTCTTTTATTATAAGAATACAGTGTAACATACATATAACATACAAAATGTGTGCTGATCACCTGTTCATGTTATCAGTAAGGCTTCCAACCAAGAGTAGGCTATTAGTCGTTATGTTTTGGGAGAGTCAGAGTCATGCGGATTTTTGACTCGGGGGAGGGGGATCATCGCCCCTAACCCCCTGCACAGCTCAAGGGTCAACGGTACTGTGGGTTTTACTGCGCCTCAAGGAGCCGTTAAGAGGACTTGGCCTTTAGGCAAAATCATTCTACCTTTCATTTGACTGTTGCTGTGTAGTTTAGAGCATATCCCACTACTAATTTATGTTATTCCCGGAAAAGTTCTTTGTGGTGAGAAGGTCAGGGTATATTATCTTTGTACAGATAAGAAAGCAAAAACTGGCCCTGGGGTCACATTATAGTAGGTGGGAGAACAGGCCATAAGATCAGCTCTTCTGGCATTTTCCATTCATTTCTCCTTGTTAGCCAGTGTTTCTTGAGGAGTTAGAGAATTAAGAAGCATAGCATTTAATTATTTCTGTATCAGAGGCCTTGTACATTCATATCTTTCTCTTGAAAATCACTGCAACTCAGATGTTTGCATTGAGAAACCCAACTATTTAGAGACATCCAAAGATATACTAGAGGAAGAGAGGGGAAGGTTTTATTAGATTTGGAATTTTAATTCAGTTAGACTGCTTTTGTTTACATGTATGCCTACTTTTAAAGTCAGAGATTGCATTTGAAAAGAATAAAAATTAGACATTTGACATCATTTTTATCTTTTGTAGAGCTGTTTTGTGATATTGTGAATTGACATATGTGTAGCTACAAATAGTCTTAAGTGCTTAGGGATTCTGCAGGGAATGTAATAAATGGTCTGAGTATGAAAAGAAGAGAATGCTCATGTTTGAAGACCACATAAGAAGAGAAAAATGTTTCGTTTAAGCACAAAGAACTAAAGCAAACCAAGTAAAGTAAGGATAAATGCCTGCAAATTTGGACATATAGGGCTTTTAAAACTGTATGACCAAGAGAAGGAACTTAGGTCTATGTAGGAATATCCATGAGGCTTATGATAATGAATACAGGTGAACACAGGAGGCCTGCGTATATCTGCATGTGTCAAAAGCCTTGTTTGATCATGCGAACGAACCAGGATTTATTTCATGCCTACTACGTGCCAGTTATAGCTAAAGGCACTAGGGATACTGTCATGAGCAAACCAGACAATCACCCCTGCGTTTCTGAAGCATGGATTCTGGTGGGAGGAGAAAAATAAGAAAAAATAAGAGAAACATATAATGTGTTAGATGGTGATAAGTGTTAGGGAAAATAGGTAAGGATGGTTCTGGAAGATGATGCGAGTTTGCATAGTGTGGTTGGAAGAGGACCTTGCAGAAAGGGTGTTAATGGAGTAAAAATCTGAAGGAGGTTAGAGAGTAAGTGACTCATGCAGATTTCTGGGGGTAGAGTGGTCCAGGAAGAGTTACAAGCAAGTAGAAAGGCCTAAACGTGGGTGCCGTGGTGAGAATAGAAGCTCCATGTGAGCTGGTCTTTTCTTTGATTCCTTGCTGCATCCTGTTGCCTAGAAGAATGGTTGCACATAGAAGGGGCTCAGCAACAATTTGCTGATTGAGCGAATCTCATGAGCTCTGTTTCTAGGATTCTGCTAGTCTTTTGTGGGTCAACTTTTTGACTCATGGAAAGAACACACCAGCGATGGATAGCCTCCCTGAGCTTTTCCTCTCATTAATTCATAAGCCAAAGGGAATGAGGGGATGGGGGGGGTGGTACTAAAGACTCTGAGCCTCAGGTTGCCACCTCTGGGCATGATGGTAGAGGACATTAGCAACCTAAGGATCTGAAGGCTTCTGGGGCACATGGCGGCCACTGTTCCTTAGCCTCGTTTCTAGATGACTCTTTCCCATGATTGTTTTCTGGAAGCAGATCCAGTTGTCTGGAGTCAATGAATGTTGCTATTCAGTTGGTTCACACTCTGAAGAATTCGGCTCCGTGTGGTCTGGTCTCCACTCACTATGTCCGCTTGGCTTCCCCTTGTTCCTCACACCCTTCAACAGGTGGCCCACCTCCACTCCCTGATGGCTGGCCGAGTGCCGACTCAGCTGCCCGTTATAAAATGGGGCTGATATCAGATCTGCCTGCTGCGGGTCTGTTGTGAGCAACACATAAACTAATGCTTGTGAAAGCCCTTTGGAAACAGAAGTGCTTTATAAACATACGTTGTCCTGATGGTGCTTATGGTACTTGCCGGCTCAGGTGCAAACTAGGGTTTTAGCAGAGGAAATAGAAAGCAATTTAACAATTTGACCAGGAAGAATAAAGGCTGAAATATTATGTGTAACCATAACTAGCACACTGGCATATGATCAGAAGTCGGTATTATTGGGGGCTGTTTTACTTTATCCTATCAATCAGTGCCGGTTCCTGTGTTAGTCTTTGACTCTTAGCACATATTTCTAACAGTTGGTTAAAAGCTCACCAGTAATCCAAGGGGATTGATTTGTCCATTCAAAATCACTTCTTTAAAGAATTGCATTCTGTCCCTTAACCTCTGATAATAGGAAAATAATCATTGAAAGAAGCTGACGTAGGTATTGAATCAAAGAAAGCTCGGTACTTAAAAAGGTGTCAAGTGTAATTTCATGGTTACACTAAAAGAAGACAAAAATCACTTGGAAGAAATCCAGAAACCAGACCTCAGCATTTTGGATTGTATCCCTATTTCTGTGTGCTGGCAGCTCCAAACATATAATAATGAATTGTTCCTCTGGAGGTTGCAAAGCATTTTTCCCATTGAAGTAGTGTGAACATAGCTCTTAGCTTCCAAGCCAGACCAGGGTCTCCACTGGCCTGTATGTAAGTAAGCATTTTCCTAACTACCACCTCCCACAAGAAACATGTCTGAGAACCACCTTCACACGATGGAGGCATGTCTTTGTTTCTGCCGCACCTCCTCGTCGGCAGCGGGATGGAGGAGGCCCCTGCTTGCCCAGCTCCCGGGTCACCGTCTGATGGTTCCTCAAGTTCTAAACGTCACATGGGCAGCATGACTCCTCAGGGAGAAAGGAGTTATGGACTCGAGCAACAGTGAGAGAGGCAAGGTAGGGTTGGAGGTGTTGCTAACCCACCAAGGTGCTGCAGCATTTCCAGCTACCAGTCCTCAGAGTCCTATGTGTCCAGATCACACCAGGGAGATTTTGAAATAGAGAAGACTTACAAATTTCCCCATCTCTGATATTCTGATTCCCTAGGTCTGGGGTGGGGCAACTTAGGAATCAGTAATTTTCAAAAACTCTCATGATTCTAGAAATTACTGTTATCTCCATTGACTAAGTTGGGAAAGTAAAAGTTAGAAATTAAATGACTAAGATAAAATTACACAGTGGTACATGGCTGAATTAGGGCCCACATGCAGGTTTTCTGAATCTGGGTGCTGTACAGGGCCTCAGAGGGTGGCGTTTGACTTCTTAAGAGTTACTAAATCTGTTCCTCAGAGTCCAGTTTTTCAGGAATTATTCTGTATTGGTAGATGAGTTTATGGTTTTATATAAGCATATGTTGCTCTTATTTTATATGTTTTTGGAAAAAACTGATTGCATGTCATCTAGTTGCAGTCAGAGGACGATGGGAGCAGGCATCTCTTAAACCCTGCCTCGCAGCACCGCCGAGTGTGCCAGTGAAGTCCCGTCTAGCAGTGAACTGTCAGCCTTCTCCTCCTGGAGGCTCGGCCCCCCTCTCTTCTCTTTACCATCTCCTTTTCTTGTACTGTCAGAAGCTTGAGATATTAAAAAGAAGATTCTGTAAAGGCTTGAAAGCTGGGGAACAGGAGCACCAGTGAAGTGGTCGGGAACAGGAAAACCATGCCATCCTCAGGAAAGGGTATTGATTAGGGGGGAAGGGAGTCTTGGTAGAGACGATGCTGGGAGAATCTCACAGGGGCATGGATCATCGGTCGGGGTTCTGTAGGCTGGAGAGATAGCTTCAGCCTGGAATGCAGACATTCCAGGGACCAGAAGGAATTTGATTAAGCCATTTAATTAAAGGCTTCATGGAGCCATGCTGCCTTGATGTTTTGCACAATGATACGTTGTTCAACCTTTTTCTTTCCCCCAGATTATTTCCACCTCTTTTATGTTCAGATGTATTTTTATTTAATTCATTTATAGATATGTATCTTTATATCTGTATCTACTTCTCTCTCTGTGTATTACATTTAGCTCTATCTCTGACATTTTATTCTGATTTCTGCTTAACCATTTCTTGCAAATAGTTAAATATTATCATTTCAACATCACCACTTACTGAATAAGATTTTCTCTCTCCACTTGTTTACACACCCCCTTTTCTTATAAGAGGCAGTTTAAGGTTTTTACTTCATTTTGCCTTTCTTAGAAGAATTGATCGGTGCTTTATTAATCTCCCTGGCTTCTGGAAAGGTGAAAATTGTGGAGAAAATTTCCTCGTTATACAGCCCTTCACCTTCTCTGTTCTTTCTGTCATCTTATCTTGTTGATCGAAACAGGATAACTGTTATTGGACATTTTAATGAATGCCCTGGAAAATGAATTCCTACTGGTTACATCCTGTCTCAGGACTTAAAATGCAGTGTGCAGTTTTCCCACCTTTCCAGTTGCCAGAATACAGGGAAAGATGGATGTCAGTCGGCATTTTCATGGAATCTGGGCAGGTTGGAGAAATTTCTCCACCAGCTGTTTAGCCATGCCTTAATTTGTATGGACCTTAGACATTCTTTGAGGAGGATAG